GGGGCTGAAAGGAGGTTTTTTTTGCTGGTGGCTCCTGAGGGCTGGGCAGGGTCTCTGGGCAGCCCCCATCACCACCATCACCACACCTGCCTACCTGAGGGGGTGCACATCAAACAGGGGGGGCTGGAGCTCAGCCAGCTCAATGGCTGTGATGCCCAGAGACCAGATGTCACACAGCTCGTTATAGCCCCCCTTCAGGGCCACGGCGGCCACTTCTGGAGCCATCCTGGCGGGTGGAGGAAGAGGAGGCAGAGACCCTCAGAGAACCAGTGGTGGCACAGGTAAGGGAGGGGAAGTGGTGGGGCAAGGGGCTGTGTGCTGGAGAAGGACACTGAGGCAGGAACTAGTGAGGGACAGAAATAAGCAGGATGGTAGCGGGGAGGGGAATAAGAAGAGGTGGCATCCGGAAGAGAGCCGTGCCAGGTAGAGAGACAGGCCATGGAACGGCTGGAGAGGCCCACTGGGGAGGTAGGACTGAGTCAGGGACCCGTGTGGGAAAGCCACCAATGCCCACCGTACTCCCCCAGCCCCAGCCACCCGCCTGATGCCCCTCACCAATAGGGTGTCCCGATGAAAGAGAGCCGTCTGGCCAGTGTCGCCCCGATCTGGGCAGAGATCCCAAAATCCGCTGCAGGCCAGCGGAGGGAGAGAGTAAGAGAGTCAGTGACCTGGGTCCCCTCTGTCAGCCTCCCCTGACCACCCCCAGCCACCTCCCCCACCAGCCGCGCTCACCCACTCACCCAGTCGGACCTCCCCAGCGTCATTGATAAGAATGTTGGCTCCCTAGGAACACGGGAGGGGCTTGAGCGGCAGACCCTCCTCTGTGGCCCCCTACAGTGTACCCTGACCCCCCTGAGTCCCCTAGATGGACGGTGTCATCCCAATGCGTGGCACAGCCCTCAGTGGCACCCCTGCCCCATCCCCACCTTGATGTCTCGGTGGATCTTCTTCTGTGAGTGTAGGTAGGCCAGTCCCTGGGGAGAGGGCAGGCGAGGAGACTGTGAGGGCTGAGCGGGGACAGTGGGCATGGCATAGCAGGATGGGGACTGCAGGGGGTTCTGACTCCACCCACCTCGCCCTCTAGGCCTCTCCTTACCTGCAGCACCTCCCGGCAGACATAGCTGATCTGAAGCTCCGACAGGGAACCTGTCACTGCAAAAGGGGTGTGTGTTGGGGAGGGCCCTGACCCCCACCCATGGGTGCCTTCTGGGGAGCACAGAACAGGTCGGGTTGGGGGCAAGGGGAGATGTAGTGGCCATGCGGGGAAGCAGGCTGGAGGGGGACAGTCCCTCAGCAGGCAGGGACTGTGTGCCAGGCACAGGTGACACAGCGGTGACACCCAGGCCCTCGGGGAGAGCACCGTCCAGGGGATAGGACAGGTGGGCGGGGGTGGGGGAGGAGGGCAGGCAGGAGGCAAGACAGTGAGGGCACCGCATCACATGCAAGGTGCTCAGAAATAGAAGGAAAAAAGGCAGACAAGACAACAGGAAGTACGTGTGGGAAGGGTTACAGCACTTGCCACAGGTGGTCAGCGATGGTTATTCTAAGGGCTCAGCAGTCGTGTGGACCCAAGGCCTGGCCCCGGAGTGGGGTGGGAGCGAGGGTAGGAAGAGGAACAGCCAGCGCAGGGGTGGGATGGAAAGCAGTAAAGTGCAGGGAGGGAGAGAGGAAGATCGTGGGAGGTGAGCTTGGCCAGCCTGCGTAGGCTCAGACCTCCCCCACCAACTGTGGAACACACGTGGCGAGGGGTGGGGGCTTCTCGTGGGTTGGCTCAGGGGCGACGAGACTGTACCAAAAGAGGGCAGAGAAGGGGGACAGTTCCCAACTGTGGCAGACATGCTGTGAGGAGACAACAGGGAGGGAGTAGGGGAGGGAACAACCCAGACAGACAGAAAAGGGGCAGAGACAGACCCACGAAGGGAGGTGGCCAGAGACATCCCACCCCCTGCCAAGAAAGCGAGAAGCAGGCTAATCAAGAGATCAGGTCCAGAAAACACAGGCCCACTGAGACATCCAAGGAAAGGCAGAGACATGAGGACCAAGCCGGAGGGTGGGGAGGGGGTGAGGGATGGGGGCACCAGCTGCAGAGTGACTGAGACTGGAGAAGTTGTGGGAAGGCTGGTGGACCAGGCCCAGGAGCTCGGCACCAGAAAACAGCTTCCTTGTTTGAAAGGCCCATCAGAAAAATAGCTCCCGCAGACAAACCCAGCGAGGTGGGGAGAGGTGTGGATATGAGGGGTGGGGAGGCGTCCAGCCCCCCTCCAGCCCCTCCTCTAACCTTGGTAGATGTCCTGGAGCGAACCAGCTCCGCAGAATTCCATGCAAATCCAGAGCTTCTGCAGCCTGCAAGGGGTCACAGTCATGATCACTGGGCTAACAGCAGCAAGAAGGTGGGGGTCCCAGGCAAGCTCCGGCTGGCTGTCCTGCCCTAGTTCAGTGAGAACCTCCACACCCACACCCAGGCACAGTGTCTCCCTCCCTCCCTTCCCCTGCCCACCCAAAGGGGCTGGCTCCATTCCCGTTTCACAGATGTAGAAGTAGAAGTTCAGAAAGGAAATTGTGCACACGGGCCGCTTGACTTAAACCTAGGTTTTGGGGGTGTGGGACTCAGGCCGCAACCCCACTGCTATCTCATACACGCAAGATTGTGGAAGTATGGAGGAGGTAGGGGTGGGAGGAGGGCACAGGGTGCACTGCCTGGAGACCCCTGAAGTGTCTTGGGACACCTGCAATATCAAGGGACTTTGTTCCCAATATAAAGAGCCAGAGGGTGCAAAGGACAGAATGGCAAGGCCTGAGTCGTTGGGGGAGCTGACTTGTAAGCGGGTTACTATAAGACATCAACTGTTCTGGACTGGGGTACTCTGATCAGAAAAGTGGGGTTCGGGAGTAGAGGAGTGCCCCAGATAAAGATGGGAGGTACAGGATGAGAGATTAGGGTCGGCAGGTGCTCCCCCACCCCCACCCCTGGGCAAAGAGGACCCCAGCTCAGGGCGAAGGCTGAGGCGCGTCACCAGAGATAACTGCCGTGGTAGGCCACGATGTTGGCGTGCCGGCAAGTCTTCAACATGAGGATTTCCTTCTGGAGGGTGGAGACATCGTCGTCTGCGAATGGTGGTGGGGAGAGAAAGGCAGCTCTAAGGAACGCAGATGGAGGAGTCTGTGTGTGTGTGTGTGTGTGTGTGTGTAAGGGACTGGGCAGCAGGGAAGGGGTCCCAGGCCCCTAGGCTCACCAGGCTCCATCTTCACCATCTTCAAGGCCACCACATCCCCTGACACCTTGTCCCGAGCCTTGTAAAGCGGAGGATTACGGTTGGAGGGGTTCCAGTTGTCCCTGGCATCCCCGAGCCAAGGCCAGGCGCTGGAACCCTCCAGCACCCCCCTGCTTGCTGGAGGCCTCACCGCCCCTTCCCCGTCAAAGAACACAATTTTCAGGGCAACGAGCCGCAGAGGGGGGCTTCCTCACCTTGAACACTTCCCCATAGGTGCCGCCACCCAGCCGGTGAAGCAGGTCGTAGTGGTCCCGGGGGTCCCTGTTGAAGATGTCGGGGTCCACGAGGTCCATCCCTGGGGGGCTGGAGCTGGGCCTGTGCCCAGGGGCCAGCAGGGCCTCAGGGCTCCAGCGCTGGCACCTCCCTCCCTCCTTCCCTCCCCACAAGCCCTGCACCCGCCTGCCTGTCTCTGTGGGCTGTGGCCTCCCCCTTCCCCACTCTCGCTTCCTGCCCCAGCTGCAGGCCTGGGCAAACGGCTCCACCCCCTGTCCCCTGGGCTCCCAAAGCCTGTGAAGAGCAGCCTGCCTAGGGACCCAGGGGACCCCTCCCTCTCTGGACACCCCCATGGCCCAGGACTAGATGTAAATGAGATGCAAATGACCTTCATTGTAATCTGGGGTGGGGTGCACCCTAGTCCGCCCTTCCCCCGGTTCTGGACTGGTGGTGGAGTGTGTCCGGGGTTACAAGTTTGGGTTGAACCTCTGCTGGGTGCTTAGAGGTGCCAAGTCTGGGTGTGGATGCCTGTGCTGTAGAGCTAGGCCTGCTCCCCTGGGGTGCAGAGATAGACATGCGCATGGCTGGAGACCTATGTGCACGCGTGGATGTCCCCACGTGAGTAGCCACACGTGTGTTTTCACGCGTGCAGTGTACAGTCTTGCATAAATAAATGAAGACACTCTCAGAGGGGCAGAGTGTAGGAACCCCTGACCCCAGTAGCTTTGTGCATCCCCCTTCCCCTATTTCTTTTTTTTTAATTTATTTATTTTTATTGGAAAGTCAGATCTACAGAGAGGAGGAGAGACAGAGAGGAAGATCTTCCGTCTGATGATTCACTCCCCAAGTGAGCGCAACGGCCGATGCTATGCGGATCCGAAGCCAGGAATTTCTTTCCGGTCTCCCACACGGGTGCAGGGTCCCAAAGCTTTGGGCTGTCCTGGACTGCTTTGCCAGGCCACAAGCAGGGAGCTGGATGGGAAATGGAGCTGCCGGGATTAGAACCGGCGCCCATATGGGATCCCGGCGCGTTCAAGGAGAGGACTTTAGCCGCTAGGCCACGCAGCTGGGCCCCCTTCCCCTTTTTCTAAAGCTGAGCTAGAAGGTGGGGACCAGGGCTCAGAACTTGAAATGCAGACTCTCAGGCGTCCAGGCATGGGATTCGACCAAGGCCCAAAGGGAGAGCTGCTACGTGCATTCCGGCACAACTCAGTGGGCTTTCGACCGCGCGCGGCATGACGTGCACGCCCGCCAGCAGGGCGGGATCGGGCCGCGTCCCCGGGAGCTCGTGCACGCGCCCGCACCCCAGGCGTGCAAAGTCCGGGAAAAGCTTAGCCCCGCCCCTCCTGGCTTCACTCAGCGCGGCTGCGCCCTGGGGGAAACTGAACTTATTCTCCCGCTGCCGGCCCGGCTCGGGTAGAGCGAATGCGCAGGCGCCCACAACGCCTGCTTGAGGGCGGAGCCCGGAATAAATCACGTGGCAGTAGGAAAGCGTGGCTGCTCACGCCGGCGCCTGGCTTCTTGTAGCGTTTCAATACGTATTTCCGTTTCCACCGCTTCCTTCTCTTCCGGTCTCGGGAGACCTCCTCTGTTGAGCGTTTGAAAGTACCGGGTCCGGTGGCCGTGGTGGTGGTGAAGGCGGCGGGCGCCATGGCGATGTTTGAGCAGATGAGAGCGAACGTGGGCAAGTTGCTCAAGGGGATCGACAGGTGTGAGCTTGGCCAGACGCCGCGGGGTGGCCGGGGTCGGTGCCGGCCGCAGGGTCTGGGGAGCTGGGGTTAGGGGGCGGCGTCCCGGGCCGGTGGGGGTCAGGGGGCAGTGTCCCGTGCTGGAGCTGAGAGTCAGGGGGCAGAGACCCAGACCAGGGCTGGGGGTCGGGGGACTGGCCGGAGCTGGGGATGAGGAGGCAGAGCCCCAGGCCAGTGCTGGGGTTAGCAGGCGGCGTCCCGGGCTGGAGCTGAGGGTCAGGGGGCAGAGACCCAGACCAGGGCTGGGGGTCAGGAGACTGGCCGGAACTGGGGGGTCGGGGGACTGGCCGGAGCTGGGGGTCAGGGGATGGCGTCCCGGGCTGGAGCCCTGGCCCCGATGATGCTCGAAGCACAGGCTTGGCCCATGCGTCCCGGCCGTGGGAAGGAGGGAAATGCCGGTCAGTGTGCTGTCAGGTGCCCATGTGGTTGCTGGGCTCCGCCTGCCGTGTGATCACCCTGGCTCGACCCTCTGCCAGGTACAATCCCGAGAACCTGGCCACCCTGGAGCGCTACGTGGAGACACAGGCCAAGGAGAACGCCTACGACCTGGAGGCCAATCTCGCCGTCCTGAAGCTGTGAGTGTTTGGCCCTGTCCCCACTCGGGACCCCAGAGCAGGAAGGTAGCTGCGGGGACTTCTTTGGCTGTGTGAGGCCAGGAGGCTGAAGGAGGAACGGGGGATGGCTTTTATTTAGGGGTGCAGCAGGTTCGTTAACCTGTGGTGCCAGCATCCCACACGAGCACCGGTTGGAGCCCCCAGAGGCTGCACTTGAGGTGCAACTCCCTGCTGATGCACCTGGGAAAGCAGTGGGAGGTGTGGCCCGTGGCCGCCCGCGTGGGACACCCAGATGTTCTTCCAGGATCCTGGTTTTCAGTCCAGCACAGCTGTGACTATTGCAGCCATTTGGTGAGTAAATTAGCAAAGGAAAGATCTTGCTCTCTTCTCAGCCTCTGCTTTTATTTTCTTTCTTTTTTTTTTTTTTAAGATTTATTTATTTTTATTGGAAAGGCAGATCTACAGAGAGTAGGAGAGACAGAGAGGAAGATTTTCCATCCAATGGTTCACTCCCCAAGCGGCCGCAACAGCTGGAGCTGAGCCAATCTGAAGCCAGGAGCTTTTTCCAGGTCTCCCACTCGGGTGCAGGGTCCCAAGGCTTTGGGCCGTCCTCCACTGCTTTCCCAGGCAACAAGCAGGGAGCTGGATGGGAAGCGGGGCTACCGGGACTAGAATCGGTGCCCATATGGGATCCCGGCGCGTTGAAGGTTAGGACTATAACTGCTGCTCTGTCCATCCGGGCCCACCTCTGCTTTTCAAATAAAAACTGTTTAAGATACAGTGGCTACAAGTGTGTGAGAGGTCAGCGCATAAAGCTGTATATAGTTTAGCGGAAATGCAGACTGCAGTCTTGCTCTGCTGGCCTGGCACCATCCGCTTGCTCTGAACTTGACCCCATGAATTCCTCTGCCATGTCGCCCTCACCCCTGGTTTTGTGAAATCAATACTACTATTTTGTTAGGCAGAGAGAGTTCCCGTCCACTCATGGACTCCTGAATGCCTCCGGCCCCCGGGACTGGGGATCTCTGTAGGGCTGCCTGGTGGGTGACTCGGGCCCCATCACTTGAGCCAAGGATATGGCAGACGGCGGGGGGCGGTCGGGAGCTGGAGGCTGGCAGCAGGGCCAGGCACGTGCGGCCTTGGGGAGCCCGCCGGGCCGGGCAGCTGTGTTTCATTGCTGTCATTGCCGTGTGCAGTGCCCACTGTGCGGCTGTAGCTTTCCCAGCTGTCGTCCTGTGAGTGGCCTTTGGGTTTCCTCCACCTCAGGTCTGTCTTGACCTGCGGTCTGCTGTATGTGTTTTGTGTGCGTGAGGAGGGGATCTGTGTGGGGACAAGCAGGTTGTCGCTCTTGGAGACTGCTCACCACATCTTGGCCGCTGTGCCCTAAGCTTCCTCTTTTTTTTTTTTTTTTAAAGACCCAGACGGCAGGATAGGGTCTTTTTTTTTTTTTTTAATCATAAAGTCAGATATACAGAGAGAAGGGGAGAGAGGAAGAGCTTCCATCCGTTGATTCATTCCCCAAGTGGCTGCAACGGCCGGAGCTGGCCAATCCGAAGCCAGGAGCCAGGAACTTCCTCCAGATCTCCCACGCGGGTGCAGGGTCCCAAGCCTTTGGGCCATCCTCAACCGCTTTCCCTGGCCACAAGCAGGGAGCTGGGTGGGAAGCGGGACCACTGGGATACAAACTGGTGCCCATATGGGATACTAGTATGTGCAAGGTAAGGACTTTAGCCACTAGGCTACTGCGCCAGGCCCCATAAGCTTCATCTTAAGTGGCTTCATCACTGTGTCACCCCGTAGGGCCATGTGGCAGTGGTTCTTGTTGGGGAGAGAAGCAGCTGAGGCATCAAGAACTGCCGAGAAGCCATCCACAGTGGCCAGGCAGGGAGCAGACTCATCCCCCCTCCCCCGCCACTGTGAGCCTCAACCACAGGCTTGTGTGCCTGTCCTCCAGGGTGGTGGCAACAAGGGTTAACCCATCCCCTTGAGCAGAGCGGGACCCAGCAGGTTAGGGTGACACACCCCGAAGGGATTGTGGGTGAGGCTGGAGACAGCTTGTCTGAGCTGCCCACTGCTGCAGTGTGCCACCTGCCTGTGCCTGTGGGTGCTCTTATTACCATGCTTCGTTTCCATGCCAGGTATCAGTTCAACCCAGCCTTCTTCCAGACCACGGTCACGGCCCAGATCCTGCTGAAGGCCCTCACCAACCTGCCCCACACTGACTTCACCCTGTGCAAGTGCATGATCGACCAGGCCCATGTATCCTTCCAGCTCGGGGCTGGGGCAGGGGGCAGTGGATGGCAGGAGGCAGTGGATGGGGGTGCTGAGAGCTCCCCAAGAGGGCGGCTGTGGAATCGCTGCCCTTTATGCCATGTGCCTGTTCTGGGTTTCCGGAGAGCTGACCCCTGCCCTCATGGACCCCTCACAGGAAACCACGACAGGCCTCCCACCAGTGATAACCCAGAATGGTGGGGACTGGGATGGGAGGGGGCCGGAGAACATATGTCGGCCTGCCTGGATGTTTCTGGAAGGCTTCCTGGAGGAGGGAGCATCTATAAGATGAGTGATTGGGTACAGGGGCAGGTCAGAGGGATCCAGAGTCTGGGAACAGAATCTGAGCTTAGCTGTTGCTCAGAGGCAACACCGCAGGTTTAGGGTGGTGGGGTGAGGTGGGCAGAGCATTTAACATGGAAGTGGCCGGTTCTCTGGGACACTGCAGAGCCCCAGGAAGTATTAGTGGGGTGGGGCATTCAGAGTCCATTTGTGCTTTAGAAAGAAGCCCCTGATGGTGCCTGCAGTGAGAATAGCAGGTGATGCCAGCCCGGCCCTTCACTCAGCTGCTTTGCTGGGGTGGACCTGGTGCCTGGCGGGCTGAGCATGCCCCTTTGAGTCACCTGGTCACCTGCCACGCTCAACAGATCGCCCCAATGGTACCTGACAGCAATGTAGGTGGGCACACGTGCCTGTCAGTGACATCACGGTGTTTCTAGGTTAAGCCTGTTGGATCAGGAGGCTCAGAGCGGGAGGCTGGGGAGGGTGGGCAAGGTTCCAGCGCCAGCCTGGACGGCAGGGGCGGGAATGTGTGGCCCGTGGGCTGCCTGGCCAGTGAGAGCGTCTGTCCTGACCCTGCTGAGGCGGTTGCAGCGAGGACTTGGAATTCGGGAGACACACAGCAGGCTGACTTAGTGGAAGGAGGTGCTGTATGGCTCAGGGCTGATGTGCATCCTTGGCGGGCTTCCCTCCTGGGCGCCGAAGCTGTGTGTCCTTAACACTCGGCTCCTAGCAAGAAGAGCGGCCAATCCGGCAGATCCTGTACCTTGGAGACCTGCTGGAGACCTGTCACTTCCAGGCCTTCTGGGTAATGTCCCTCAGGGCTGGGGCCGTGACAGGGGGGTCGGCTTTGGACAGGGCGGCCGCTGGGCTCTGGGCAGCAGCGTGTCGAGAGCAGGGGTGATGAGCACTTTGTGGCAGCCCGCTGGCCGCAGGGTCCCCAGGTGAACAGGCAGAGTCTGGAGTGGTCATGGGCCCCTGTGTCCCAGCCTCTGACTGCAGCCTCCTTCAGCTGGTGGGACAAGGCCTGGCCCTCCGCCTCCTTGTTCCTCAGTGCCCAGCTCCCCCGGCTGTGTGGTCAGGTGGGCCCCGCTTGGTTGGCGTCTGCCTTCCCAGAGACCATGTCTCGTTTGTGGAGCCCGCCTCCCACCCTGTCCTGATTCTTAGGTGGGGTGGGGGAGCTGTAGAGGAAAACCTCCCAGGCCACAACCCCTCTGTCCTCTGCGTGACCTGACTCACTCCCATCATGCTCTGGACCACCTACTTGAAAGGCAGAGCGATAGAGAGGTGATCCTCTGACCTCCGGCTCACTCCCCGAATGTCCGCGGTGCCTGGGCCGGGCCAGGCTGAGGCCAAGAGCCTGGACCTCGATCCGGGTCCCCCACAGGGTGGTAGGGCCCAAATGTTCGTCGTTTGCTGCCTCCCGGGGTGCATGATCAGGAAGCATGGTGGCGGCAGCAGCAGTGGCTGTCTCAACGGAGTCGCCCGGCCTGGAACCTGCGCTCCTGTCCGCTGCAGGCTGAGCCCGCCAGGCCTAGCTGCTTGTAGCTGCTGACCTCGGCGCCGGCCACACCGCCTGTGTCGTATGTGTGACCCTGGCTGTTGCCCTTGCAGCAAGCCCTGGAAGAGAACATGGACCTCCTGGAAGGAATCACCGGTTTTGAAGACTCTGTCCGCAAATGTGAGTCCTCGGGCTCCCTGAGGATGTGGGCAAGGGGCGGGGCTGGCAGCAGGGCCCCAGGGCAACCCCTCACCAGCTTTGTCTCCAAACACAGTCATCTGCCACGTCGTGGGCATCACTTACCAGCACATTGACCGCTGGCTGCTGTCTGAGATGCTCGGGGACCTGAATGGTAAGGCCCCCTGTGTGTGGTTGGGGTGGTCAGGGGAGGCTCGGTTGTGAAAGAAAATGGGGACCGATGCAGCTGCTTGCTGGTCAGTCCCTGACTAACTGGGGTGGACATAGGGAACATGACAGGGTGGCATGGATTTGTCCTCCTGGGACTGGGCTGAGGGAACTGTGCCCGAGCCATGCTGTGAGCCACACTGTCCTGGAGGGGGCAGCCTTGAGCAGGTGGCCCGGGACGCTAGAGGCCTCCAGGCTGAGCTGACCTGTTCACCTGGCAGGCAGATGGGCAGGCAGATGTGGGGTCAAAGCCCACAGCACCTGGGGCTGGGTCAGGCCGAAACTGGCTGCTGGGAATTCAGCTTGGGTCTCCACACTGGTGGCAGGGACCCATGTGTCTGAGCCATCATTTGCCTCCCACGTTGTACGTGAGCAGGGAGCTGAATCAGGAGTGGAGTGGATGGAGCTCAAACCAGACCTGCTGGGGATGTGTGCCTGACCTCCCTCCCTCTCGCCTTTCACGCAGGTGGTTTTGCGTGCGTTGCTTCCAGTGGGTGCCACCTGCTGTTGAACATTGTGTATCGGGTTTTGCACCAAGTACTTTAGATCAGGCACATGCTTGGCAGGTTTTTTTTTGAAAGATTTACTTATTTGAAGAAAGACACAGTGAGAGAGACTTTGAACTGCAGGTTCACTCCCTGCATGTCTGCAGTGGCCAGCTCCGGGCCAGGCCAAAGCCAACAGCCAGGATCTTCACCCAGGGCTCCCACACAGGAGACAGGGCCCAAGCACTTGGGCCAACTTCTGATGCCCAAATGGGATCCCAGTGCTTGGAGCATACTGTGTGGGGGAGGGGTGCTTTCAAAGTGACCTTGACATTCCCATTGACTTTTTGGTTTTTTTTGCAAAAAGGGTTTTTGTTGGTGATGGTGTTGATGACATTGCAATCACCCAACCATTTCACATGGTTTGTGGGTTGGGGGGCGGGACCGATCAGTGATTAGTGAATGCAAACCAGGACTTGAACTGGGAGAGGGGAGATTCAAAATGAGTGAAAGGACTGAAGCTTGGTGCCGGGTCAGGACACGAACGCTGCAGGGCGCCCTCTGGCGGCTGCCTGGAGAATGAGCCAGGGCCGGAGCTGTGCTGGGAGGTCTCCAAGGGACCCTGTGGGATGGGGCTGACCATGGCCGTGTTCCCTGCAGACAGTCAGCTGAAAATGTGGATGAGTAAATACGGCTGGAGTGCCGACGAGTCGGGCCAGATCTTCATCTGCAGCCAGGAGGAGAGCATCAAGCCCAAGAACATTGTGGAGAAGATAGACTTTGACAGTAAGTGGAGGGGTTGCGAGGCCTGCGGATGGGGTCTGGGGTCTGGAGTGGGGACAGGGAGTCTGTCTCCACCAGGAACCTCGTGGGCCGGGGCTCCATCCTGCTGCATCCCCTACCCCCACCTGTGGGGTTGACTTAGCTGGTGGACCTCTCACTTCCCTGTGTGTGTTCCCAGCTCGGAGATGGGAGACAGCAACAGTAATGACAGCACACACAGGCATTCTGACGCTCATGTCCTTGGAGCTCACGTCACACACATTTTCCCAGAACTTTTTTATTTGCTTTCAAATTTGAAAAGCAGAAAGACAGAGAGCTCCTGTCTGCTTAGTCATTTCCCAGACATGCCCCTAATGTCTGGTGTTGGACCAGACCAAAACCGGAAGCTGAGAACCACAGTGGGGTGGGGGTGCGAGGGACCCAAGACTTTGCTGCCACCCTGGCACAGAACGCAGCTGGGCCTGGAGCCTGGCACCGTGCTGTGGAGGATGCGGGCACCTTCAGGGGCGGCTCAGCCAGTGTGAGAGGCACCTGTGTACCGCCCTACCCCCAGGCTCTCATGCCCTCCTGCAGGTCTTGTGGTATGCACCCCATGAGCTGCCCGTGTGAAGGGAGCAGGGCCACGTATAACAGGATGAGCCAGGCACACAGCTCGGAACATGTTCACTGTTAGACCCACGTGTGGACATGCGTTGCCCTGACAAGGCCCGCCTGATGGCTCAACAGAAAGCGAAGTGGACTTTGAGCTTGCATGCTGACTCCCCCTCTGCTGCAGGCGGGGTGTCTGGGGGGAGAATGGGGTCTCCCAGCCATGAAGTTGTGTGACCATGGTGGGCCGTTTTATTTTTTGGTTTTTTGTTTGTTTGTTTGTTTTTTGAGTGTTTTATTTTTTGGGAAGGCAGATTTGCAAAGAGAAGGAGAGACAGAGAAAAAGATCTTCCGTCCGCTGGTTCACACTGTTATGTGGCCACAATGGCCAGGACAGAGCCAATCCAAAGCCAGGAGCCAGGAACTTCTTCCGGGTCTCCCACCTGGGTGCAGGGTCCCAAGGCCTTGGGCCGTCCTTGACTGCTTTCCCAGGCCACAGGCAGGGGCTGGGTGGGAAGTGGAGACACAAACAGATGCCCATATGGGGCGCTGTGCTTGAGGGTGGAGGATTAGCCTGTCAGGCCGCAGCAACCCAGTCTCGAACCTGGTGTTTGATAGGAGCCGGGGCCATGCTGGGTTGTCTGGGAGAACCTGAGGTGAGGGGGCTGCAGAGGTGGGCCGCTGCCAGTGCTCCGAGCGACAGATAGTGCACACTGTCATGCCGTGGCGTCCTCACTGCCTTCCATGGCCTGGGACACCCGCATCAACTTAGAGTTTCCGGATTCAAGTCCCGCCTGTGCTCTGGAGCCAGCTGCTTCCCGAGGCACACCTGGGAAACACTGACGGCGTGCTCACTTCGGGTCCCTGTGACCTGCGTGGGAGAGCAGACGGCGCTCCCGGCTCCTGAGCTCTGTGTGGCCTCTGCGGAGGACCGAGCTGATGGAAGAACTTCCCCGCTCTCTGTTCTCCGCAAGTCAATGGAAAACATGAGCAGACCCTGCTGAATGATAGCAGGAGGCGAGGTGAGCGCAGCATGGACCCAGAGTGGCACCTTGGAGAAGCTCCAGGGAGATGTGATGTGACCTGCCCAGGATCACCGTGCCAGTGGCTGCAGGACAGCCATGTGAACTGTGGTGCCAGGGTGCCTGTTGACTCCAGCTGCTCGGCCGGGTTGCAGTGTGCCCTCCTGGACTTCCCACAGCACACCTCATATCTCCCTCTCTTCTCCACAGGCGTGTCCAGCATCATGGCCTCCTCCCAGTGACTGGCAGCCCCCTAATAAAGACCTGTCGACTTAGCCCTGCTGTGGCCTCTTCCCTGTTGGCATCCTCCATGACCCCCCGTGGACTTCCTCCTCCTCTCTCTTCCTTTGGACTTCCTGCCCTGCCCTGCCCTGCCCTGCCTTGCCCTGCCCTGCCCTGCCCCCTCCTTCCTGGCCCTGCCCTGTTGGGGAGGGCAGC